CATCGATCAATATTTTAGATAAATCTTTTGATTCTTCAATTGTCATGTTCACATATTCGAATTTTCGTGTTAACGACCGCAAAATCTTTTCCATCACTTTAATCTTGTAGAGTGATTCACCATTTCTTTTCATTTTATTTACCACCAATTTTACACGACTGACATAATCATTGATGCTTTCTCTATTTTTTATTTTTAACATTTTAAACTCAGCTCTGATAGATTGTAAACGTACCTTTCTTGCTTTTTCGGCACCTTAAAGAGACTTTTGTAAAATCTTTCACGCTTGTTTTGCGTTTTTCACATCTGAGATTTTTTTCTAAGGTAGATTCATCTACTCCTTGAAAAATAAATAACAACGCCATCTTTTCTTTCTTGTGGGATTCCTTCAATGTCTTTTTCTCTTCATTGGTCAAAGTTGTTTCTGCTGTTGCATTTTTGGGTTCGACATAGCCTTCTTCGATGACATCCCAACAATCTTGGGAATCAAACAATGCCTTCATTTGGATACTCTAATTGTCATAATTTAACTTTTTCGATCTCAGGATTTGTGATTGAATCATGTTGGTCATTTTCTCCGTTGTATAAACTCGAACTAAGTTCCGATACCACTTGTCGAAAGTGTGAATGGGCACTCGATGAACTTTTATAACTCACACTATTATTGATATGAACAAAATAAGATACAAACACTAGTTGCAGCTAGTTTACAAACACTAGTTGCAGCTAGTTTACAAACACAACCCTACTATAATTTTATAGCTCTCTTACTCTCTCCAATTTTTTCTTCTCATATATATTACATTAACTTAAGCTAAACACGCATATATAATATATAGCCTTATTTAATCGTCTTAGCTGTTGTTGTTCCTTCTCGTAATTGTCTTCAATTGCCAAATGAACAATTTCACATTCATAAAATTTTCCTTGTCATTTTAAACTTCTCTTCTTTGTTGTAGGAATATTTCTTGCTACCACCTTAAAGTTTTAAGCATTCATTTGTAAGCTGTCAACTTATAATTAATTGTTGTTGTCAACTTAATTTCTTTATTATGTGTTTCCTTGTTCCTTAATTTATTGGTAAGTGTTTTGTCAACACATAAAGTCAAAAAATCATGTTTGACTTCTGACATAAGTCCCATGGTCTTCCACTCTTCCTGAACAGGTCATTGTTCAACTCCTCGAAGCAAGCTCTGGTTAGTGGCTCAGAGAAATCAACAACAACACCATCAAAGAGTGATTCAATCTCCACGCGGACCCGGTGCTGATTGTTGAGAGCTCTCTTGGCACGCTCAGCTTCCCTCCTAAGCTTTCCAAGAGCTCTATTGTCCTTGCTGATATCCTTTCCATGCTTCTTCTTGATCAATTTAACTTAATTCAAATTTTATTTATATAATGGGTTGGACGTGCAAGTTTGGAAGTTCTTTGCGTAACTGTAACCAAACCCCATTGACGAAAAAAACCCAGGAAGCTTTACTTAAAAAAAACAAAACATCCTTAAATAATGGAAAGCTCAGAAGGATGAGTAAGCATAAATGGTGTTTTGTTTTCCACAATTTAGAAAAGAATGCAACATATTCATGAATTTCAATTGTCATCCAAGAATTTGTACAAAGCCAGAGGATCCTTCTTGGATTTGCGCAAGCTTAGCATTGCCTTGAAAAGGCGTTTGCTTTTGGTAGAATATTGTTCCGCATCTTCCCCCCTTTCCCTTTCACTCACTGCCGACAACGAAACGGTTCTTCAAGGCTCCGACGGGTACTGTTCAGATCAAACAAAATTACGTTTTAGATTATGAATTGCTACAAGTAAAATATTGGAGTTATTCAGTAATTGTCCCCAAAGTTTTGTACTCTTCTTTTAGGAATAATGGGAGAGATGGATCTTGACATAGGAGAAGCGGTTCGTGAGAGTGGAAAGTGTCCAGGAGAGGTTGATCGGTTCTCTGATTTCAGAATAAACAATAATTGTCAATTATTAAAAAAAAGGGTAAAGTAGACAAATGGTCCTCTTACTATAAGATATTGCTCTACCGAGTCTCTCGACTACTATAAGTTACAAAATAGTCCTTCAACTATAGGGAGTTACTTTGTTAAGTACCCGACTATTAAAAGTTACAAAATAATTACCTGAGTATTCATTATGTTCCAAATTTGTCCTTTTACGTTAAAAAATTGACAGCAGTCTAAGCTAGACGTTAACCTGCTGATTGAGATATGATAAAATTTGATCTCATAATCTCAAAGGAATATTATATCACACTCAACATGTTAACATCCAATTCAGACGATAGTTAATTTTTTTAACGGAAAAGAACGAGTTTGAAACATAATGAATAATCGAGTGACCATTTTATAACTTTTAATAGTCGAGGGACTTAACAAATCAACTCTCTATGGTCGATGGATTATTTTGTAATTTTTAATAGTCGAGGGACTCAATAAAATAGTATTTCATAGTCGGGGGACCATTTGTGTACTTTACCCTAAAAAAGTATATGGATTAAAAAAACAAGGTTGAATCCATTACCTAGTTTCTGGTTCATTGAAACGCTGCTCAACAACTGGGGGCGTTGTCTTGGTACAGGTCGTGGAGACCGCAACATAAACCATCCATCCCTACATTAGGATTGTAAATGGCTGCGGTTAGGAACATAAAACAAAGGGTAAACTACATGTTTAGTATCCCATCTATCATTTTTATTTCGTTTTGGTTACCCAGTTATTTTTTGTTTCAAAAACATATTTAACATTATATTTAACAGTGATTTTAACGTGTTACCATAAGGTATTGTAATATTAACATCGAAAAATAATTAAAAAAACACCACATCAATATCACCGCTATTTTTAACGATGGATGACCAAAACTATGGGTGCTTATTGAGCGAATCGATCACGAGTTGGGCAATGAGCGACTCATGCTCGTTAAAAACGTTTGTTGCTAGACTTGACTCGTTGCTCGTTAAGAATTTGCTCGACTCATGATCGTTAAAAAATTTTGTTGCTTGACTTATTATACGTTAAGATAGTTAAATTTTTGTTCGACTAGTGTTTGTTAAAAGAAACTTTTTGCTACACTCGTTGTTTGTTAAGCTCACAAAAATGTTTAGGTATGGTAATTAGTGTTCGATTTTTTGGTGTAGTAAATTAATATTTTTTATTGTTTACTAGAAAATTAGTAATAATTATTAATTAGTAATTTAGTATCTTTCTTATTTTTTATTAGTAAATTAGTATTTATTATTTATTATTTTTAATGTAATAATTTTTTTAAGATAACTATTAAAATTTATAAAAATTAACAAGCTGCTCATGAACTTATCGAGGCAAATTGGAACTTACTCAACTCAACTCATGAAGGTTTTGAGTCGAGCTCGAATTTAATTCGAATCAACCTGAGTCGAGTATTATCAGAGTTTTGACTAAGTCGAGTTTGACCAATTCGTGAGATGCTCAACTTATTAAGCACCCCTAACCAAAACATAACATTAGATATGGTTTTCAAATATTATAGTTAAATGAATAAAACATAAACTAAATAACATGTGAGTGACGAATATGGGTAGTTTACACTAAAACAAACGACAAAATATTGCTAGGAATAGATTTCAAGATTACCCGACACACTCAGAACTGCTGTCTGCAGGTTTTGCTTCTATACCTAAAGTATGATATGACATAAAAAGGTCAAATTATGGTGTCAGTCTCTCTATTATACTCCAGTTTGAGATTTAGTCCATCTACTTCACTTTAATTTAATCTTCTACTTTTATTATATCATTAGTTAATTTGAATACCTATCAACATTAATTATTCCGTTAAATAAGTACACAGATGAAATATTTAATAGCATGGATGTTTTAACAGTATTAGTCATTTTAACTAACTAACTAACTAATTATTTTATAAAAGATCAAACTATAGTAAATTAAAGCATGGAACCAGGGTTTTAAATAGCGTTCGCGGTCACGATTTCGGCCACGTCACGTTTATCATGGTTGCGGATATAACAGATGATATTGCAGTCATTGTGGATATCGCGATCGTGAATTTTTTTCAAATGAACTGATTTTTTTAATAAAAAACTTGTTTTTTTAAATTAAAATAATGGAATAATAGCGGAATAGCAATCCGCTATTGCCGCGATTGGCCGCGATCCGTTAAATTGTGGCCGCGATCCACCACTATTGGTTGGATCCCGCTTCACACCGTTATTTTTCACAATAGCGGTTTCGGACACCGCCGCAACCGCGATATAACGGCCGCGATATCACTATTTAACCGCTATTTGAAAACCTGATGAGAACTATATTGTGATTCTATAAATAGTAGAGGGACCAAAACCACCATGAAGAAATAATACCAATGTTCTTAAACCGATTCAAGTCTACTATAGCAAACATGCTATTGGATTTCAGCCTAGTGTTGGCAACATCATTCAGGGTCTCCTCAACTGCAGCAGAAAATATGATTGTTCAGATGAATTAAAATGATAAAAATATTGATTTGGTCTCTCTACTAGCTTAAACTTTGGATTTCGTCTCTACATTTTAATTTAACATAATTTAGTCCTCTACATTAAAGTAGGGAGATGGAATTATGTTAAATTAAAGTATATAGACTAAATCCGAGCTTAATAGAGGGAGGAATGGCTTCTCTCATATAGGGCAGTGGGAAAAAAGATTTCCCCATATAAGGCTCTCACTATATTATTTTCTAAACTAGGATCAATGTTACAGTGTCAAGAGGAAGACGACGGAACACCACGCGACTTCAATTTTCCGGTGGAAGTCGCATGGATTGTCATGTGTTTTCAACTTTGTAGATCGAAAGAAATGGTCGGTGATGGAGAAGACGTACTGTGGTCTCTGTGTCTTTCCTGAAAAAGTTAAAGTCGTACGGTATTTCTGACGTCTTTTTCTTCACACTGTTACAATAATCCGTTTAGAAAATAATATGATGGAAGCCTTATACGGGGAAATCTTTACTCCCACTGCCCTACATGAGCCATTTTCTCAGGGAGGAATGCACAAGTATTAGACGAAAAAGCTTTCCTGGAAAGATGTAGTGTTTATGGTGCTTGGGTGCCTCTAACACGATTGACTGCTGAGACAGGCCCCCTAAGTTAACAAAGTCTTGGCATGTTCTCAGTCTCTAAAACCACAAACAAGAATGATTTTAGTTCCTCTATTCTCAAACATTAAGCAAACGTAAAGTTATGAAGCAAAATTACCTGTTCCAGGCACCACAACCGACGCTCCATTGCAGAATATTCAATCATCTTTTCATCCAGAAAACTGTTAATCTTGTATGCAACAGAGCCCAAGTGGTCAACAGTATTCACCAGTGCTTTAATGGCGTAGTCTTTCACTGTCTCCTCCACTCTGCCCTTTGTCAAAGATATATAAGAAAGCTGGAGTATTTAATCTCTTTGTTATATCATCACTTACATTTGTTTCTGCAGTTGTTTGGTATAAGCCATTTCAAAATACTCCGCAGCAGAATACAGTTGATTCCTCAGACTCTTCAAATCCTAAAATATGATCATGTGGGTGAAAATAAAATACTTGTATGTAATTGTCAATGAAACTGAAATTGCGGGTGAATTTACCTTAAGATTATCAGAGAAAAGCAAGGTTTGCTGCATGAAGAATTCATCACGGTGGGATGATTCTTGTGTCCAGCTCATGTTTTCCTTGTACTGAAAAAAACAAAAATATATTAAAAAAAATGAAACTCCATGTAAAGCCTGGCAGACTTTTTCCTGACTTTCCATTAAAAACAAGAACAGATAGTGAAAAGAATAATATTGAAAGCAACATACCGAGAATTCTCTATCTTTTCATGTAGTTGCGAAGATGACATGAATTCCCTATTGTTGAGGACAATGTTCTACTTTTCTTTTATATTACAGCCAAATGTTGGCCATGTGGTGGTTTGATAACTTTATGTTACAAGAAAATATGTACACAATGACCGAACTCGGTCATAGAGTTTGAGGGTTAATTTAAAATTTTTAAAAATTTAGAGGTTTAAATAAAAAAAATTAAAAATTTTGAAGAGTTTAGTTTATATTTTTTCCAAAAAAATTGGGGTCTAATTAAAATTTTTAAAAATTTGAGAAACTTATTGAGGATTTTTAAAAAATATGAGAGGGATTTAATTAAAAATATTCGAAAAGTTTAAAGCTTAATATAAATTTTTAAATATTATGTGGCCAAATTATTTTCTAATTTTTTTTAAAGGTCTAAAATTAATTTTTTAAAATTTTTGGGGGAATGGCCCCACCTGTCTCCCCTTTGTTTCGCCATTGTATGTATGATCAACACTCAGTTGATCTAGTGGAATGAAAAACTAGATTCTTTAAACAATATCGGAATTCGAACGCTGGTGTTTGTAAATAGAACAAATTGGGCCTTGATAAAATCTGATATGGAATAGTCGATCAATATATCGATGATCAAACCAAAAAAGAAAAGAAAAGAAAATATGTATGTAATTTAATGGCAATTGAGGAAAAGAAGTAATTTAAACAAACTACCTTACCAGAATGAATTTAATTGCATAGATCATGTTTGGTAGATTGGCCTATGAAAAAAGATTGAACGAGTTTATGGCATTGTTAAAGTTGCCTTCCTTTTTGGTGACTAAATCTCAACCGTTAACAATGATGGTTTCCATCAGACTCACCTGTCAGATTTAATTTCAACAATGAATAGTGACTTAATTCAGCTTATATTCAGCGTTAAATTTTATATTCCAATATTATAATTACAATCACAAATAATATACATATGAATAATTATAATTATTTAAGGATTATAACTCGAATTTCTTTTGATTCAATTTAAAATTTACATATATTTAAAGATTATTTGGTCTAATAATTAATGAGTGTTTTCCAATATGTTTTGGTTGTGCAATAAATAAGAAGATTGGAGACTTAAATTTTGTGTCAATTACCAGCCTCCATAAGCCAACATAGAACCTGACAGGCTGATAATTGCTTTAAAATTTGGGTAAACTATGCGTTTAGTACTTAAAATATTATTTTTGTTTCGTTTTGATATTCATATTTAACGGTGATATTAACATGTCACTATAAGGTAATGTCACGCCATCAATGAAAAAAATAAAAAATATCACATCAATAATTTTGTTAATTTTATAATGACGATGTGCCAAATTGAAACTTAAACTAAATGTTAGGTATAATTTTAAAGAAAAATAAAGTTTAAGTATCAAAATAAAACAAAAATAATAATTTAGATACTAAATTTATCATTTACCCGTAAAATTTTTGGTTTGGTAATAAACACATTGGGAGCATACCGTTCTATGAGCTAATGGCTAAGATTCCTTTTTTTCTTATTGGCTTAGATAGTTAGGAATTCAATTTAGATAATAAAAACATAATTTAAACTTAATTATAATTTTTTAATATATAACTAATAAAATGAATTAGTGAGCTAAATTAAAGAAATTCGAATTTATATTTTTTTTTTAAATCAAGTAATAATTTAATTCATATTTTGGGGTAGCATTTAATTAGCTAAAATTATATATATATATATATATATATGAAAGTTAGGATATAGTCTTTATCTTTTGATGCAAATATGTGATGGAAGAGAAGCCATTTTGGGACAACGCCGGAAAGTTGTGGGAATTAGATCTGTTTATTTTAGGAGTTGTTGGATGGTTGCTTCAAATATTTATAAAAGTTTTTACTTGAATTTAATTATAAAATTTATTAAAATTAATAATAAAAAAGTATTAGAGTAAACTATGAATTTAATATCTAGACTTTCAGTTTGGATTCGTTTTAGTACCTAAATTTTTATTTTTTTCAAAATCATACCTAACGTTTAGTCTTTGTTTCATATTAGTACCCGTCGTTAAAAACTTAACAGACGGGTTAACATGACATAACTCCGGTGGACAGACCACCAATCTAAACAGTGGACTACGAGAGAGTGATGAGTCGACTAACATAGTCCAGTTTCGGGCCCATCGGTCGATGGACCATGGAGATTGGATGATGAAGAAATCGAAGAATTCATCGTCGATATGGATTGATTAAGGCATTTCCCAGTGAAATGGAGGCCAAAATCGCGTTTAGGGGGTCGAAAAGGTGTGGGCTGAAAAGTTTGGGTTTCATCGACCAACAAATGTGATGACCGACAACTGTAGACACGATGACCGGTGGGCCCATCCGTTAAGTTTTTAACGGCATGATACTAAAATGAAATAAAAACTAAATGTTAGGTACGATTTAAAAAAAATAAAAGTTAGGTACTAAAATTGATCAATACTGATAGTTTAATTACTAAATGCGTAAATTACCCAAAATATTATGTGATACACATATTGTATTACATAGTCTGTATATTTAAATTTTAAAATCTTAAAATCTTAAAATCTAAAACACTAAATTTTAAACTCTATATCATAAAACATTTTCAAACTCCTAAAATTTAAAATAGAAATTAAAATTTAAACAATTAACATATTAACTTTTTTTTTTTTTTGTAAAAAAATAGATTTTTAAACTTACTTTGTTTAACGAATAGAGTTACTAATTTAGTGACCAAACCTTGAATTAACTTTGTCCTGATTTTCTTTAGGTTGAAATCATGAACAACAAGCGAATATTTATTTGACCTTCGACGTAAATATCTTTGGTGGGTACGATTATAGGGGTCCTCATAAAGATTATTAATTATGTTAAAAAATTAAAATTATTCAATATAGTTTAGAATCTGAATTTGGTGAAATTAATTTTTAAATTTTAAATTCATTTTTAAAATATTAAATTTTAAAAATATTGACTTTTATTTTAAAATATTAAATTTATTATTATTTTAAATCTTATATTAACTATATTTTAAAATGTATATATTTATAAATCACTAACTAAATTTGCTTAAATAGTTTCGGTGTTTATATATTCTCAAAAAAATTAAGGTTTGATTCATTTTATTCTTTTCGTTATAATACAATGTAAATATAATATATTGTAAGAAATAAACATAAATTAATTGTTGGTCTAGTGGTAAGAACTCATTCAAACATCTCACGAGACCCAAATTCAATTCCCTCTTATCACTTATTTTCCTTTCAATTTGTTTCTTTCTTTTTTTATCATATGGTCTTCAACTGTAAACCAATTACATAAAATATTGTAAAATATTACTAAGTGAGGGGTCTAGCCTAGTGGTTCAGATGTGCCTCGTGACGCACTTTACATTGGTTATTTTCCTTTCAATTTGTTTTTTTTATCATATGGTCTTCAACTGTAAACCAATTATATAAAATATTGTAAAATATTACTAAGTGAGGGGTGTAGCCTAGTGGTTCAGATGTGCCTTGTGCGCTTTTTACATTGGTTTGATTCTCTCTAAGAGTAGATTAAATTTTATTTAGTTTTGCTTATCAAATAAGGTGGTGACATGTGTTACTGCCTGATTTGATACAAATTAAAATAAATTAAATAATTAAATTAATAAAGTATCTTCCAATCTAGTAGTGATACATGACTTGTCACTACCTAATTGGAGATTAAATTTATTAAATTGAATTAAAATTATGACCAAATTGATATAATTTATAAATATTATGGATCAAACATCCATTTATATCAATTTTATTAACTGTCACGTTAGCACTTCCATTAAATGTTAACGGAAAGTGACTTGATTGAATGAATTTAAATAGTTAGATGACATGATTGATAAAATTTCAAAACTGATGATCAAAATAAAAAGGAGCAATAGTTAGGTGGTCAGTGGTATAATTTACCCAAAAAATTATGAAATATAATGTAATTAATATTTATTCTAAATAATTTATGTTTAGATTTTTAACTAGTTTATAATTATATGTTGAGTACATTAGAATTTTAAATTTTTATAAATTAAATTAATGGTGTTAATCGTTAGTGATGTTCAACTGTGGTTGTCGAGCATTGTAGAATTTTTATTAGATCTTTGTTTGATTTAATGATTAGTTATGTTTTGGTTCTAACATCTTCCACTAAAATATTACATGTCACATTCTAGAAAAGCTCAATGTACTCTCATAAACGATGTCAATAAAATGCAGTAAAGATGTAACTTTATCTCAATATTCATTATCAGGAGTGCAACCAACCTTCCTAAGCTCCTTTGTGTATAAAAGATACTTAATTTTCACATTTTTAAATGCCTTTCTAAACACCAAAGCACTTTTAAGCATGAAATACGTGAAATTCTATCTTGCTCCTATGTCCAAGCAAACAAGAGATTTAAAATTTATATTCTCCCCTTCAACACAAGCTTTAAACTTTTGAAGCCTTGCAAAAAAATACCTCATATATTTCGCAACAATACAAACACTCATAATGGAAACATCAACATCATTCAACTTATCTTTAACAATCAAATTTAAAATATGTGCAACACATCTCATATACTAAAATTCAGCATTCAACACACTACCACTCCATAAGTTAAGAATTCCCTTCAAATACTTGATCACTACATCATTAGAGTTAGAGTTATCAATCGGTATAATCATGATCTGTTGAAAATATTTTGATATTTCAATATAACAAATAAATATGTTAATGAATTTTAAGATTTTATATTCGATTTCAAATATTATATT